GCACCTCAGCATGGCTCCGCTGGCCGCTGCAAGCAGTGCTGCCAGCCAGGCAGCCAGGCAGCAAGCCAGCCGGCCGGCCAGCCCAGGCCTCCCCGCCGCCCCTCCCCCAGCCCTCCTCATCCCCGTCACCCACCCAGGGCCAGGATGAAGGCCAGCGAGGTGAGGGAGCGCTCGCCCCCCGACAGCGCCTTCATGTCGGCGGTGGGGGCGCCGCCGCCGATGCCCACCTTGAACACCAGCCGCTCGCGCTTGTAGTCCACCTGGGGGGAGGGAGGAGTGTGTGTGTGTGTGTGTGTGTGTGTGTGTGTGTGTGTGTGTGAGGGGAAGTGGAGTGTGGAGTGCGTGTGTTCTGTGTGAAGTGCGGTGTCTTGTGTGGTGTGGAGGGCGGCGGGTGCGGCGCAGATGGCGGCAGAGGCAGGCAGACAGGCTGGCTGGTGCGGTCTGCCGCGCCGCCCAGCTCACGTCGATGGACCCGCAGTGCTGGCGGTACCCCAGGTACCGCTGGAACGACTTGGACAAGTTGGTGGACACGTTGTACCGAATCTCCTTGAATTTCCTGCGGTGCCAGGGCAGCCAGGCGTGTGGAGGGTAGTGAGGTGTGTGTGCATGTGCCCACAGGCAGCCCCAGGGGGTCTCCGGCCAGGGCAGGGCAAGCAGTAGAGGGCCGCATCAGGAAAGGGCAGGGCAGGCTTGGGTTCGCGGCGCGGCGTGGCGGGGAAGCCGGCTGCTGCCCAGGTGCGGCTGCCCAGCCCAGCCCAGGCCCACAGTGCGTGGCCCGCCAAGCTGCCCAGGCCGCGCGCCGCACCTGCGGCGTATGTGGCACCCGCTCTCGCACTCCCGGAGCGCCTCCTCCCCCTCTGCGTGCCGCAGCCGCCGCTTGGCCAGCTTGTTGCGCAGGTCTGCCAGTTCCACCTGCGCGGGGCAGGGTGTGTGTGGTGGTAGGCAGGTGGTGGCAGGCAGGTGGGGGCAGGCAGGTGGGGGCAGGCGCGGCGCAGAATGGCACGGCACGGACGGCGAGGCGTGCGGTTCGGGAGCGCTGCAGGAGGCTGGCCACATCTCCCCACCCATATCACAGGCACCTCAACGCCTTCACACACACACAGCCTCCCGGGCACCCCCACACACTCCCAACCATGCCCACACCGCACATGCGTACTGCTGCTGCCACCCAGCACACCCCGCACCCACCTCCAGCTGGTCGTACGAGCTCTGCGCATCCGCCTCGCGCTTCACAATCTTGTGCTCCACCTGCGCCACCCGCCGCTCCATGGCTGGCTGCTCCAGCAGGCCCCGGATCGCCTCCTCGCTCTGCCCTTCCTTGTGCCACTCCGCCACCAGCTGCGCCCGCATCGCCGCCGCCTCCTCCCGGCTGCACACGCCCTCCGCGTCCCGCAGGCTCTGCTCAAAGTGGCCCTCCGCCTCCGCCAGCTTGGCGGCCACCACCGCCATCTTCTGAAGCACGCCGGCCGAAGCCTCGCGCGCCTCCGCCAGCGCCTGCGCCACTCCCTCCTTCTCTGCGGCTAGCGTGGTGATGGCGTCGCGGCACGTGGCCAGCTGCTCAGCCACTTGCTGCACAGGGGAGTACAACAGAATTCCTTGGGGCACGGCACGGCAGGTGAGGTGAGCTGGGCGGCCACAGCCGGCACGGCAAGCCGATGCGGGCTGCGCGGACGCGGGCCGTGCAGAAGCAGCGCGCCCAAGGACAGCAACAGGGCCCAAGGGAGCAGCCGGGGCCGCTGCCCCTGCACCAGCAAGCCACCTTGCAGCGGTCTGCGTGTGCAAGAGCAGGGTTTCCCCCGGCGCAGCGCAGCCCCCGCCCGCGCATGGGCTGGCTGCCCTCACCTGCGGTACCGCCCGCGCCTCGAGCAGCTTCCGCGCCAGACGCTCCAGCTCCGCCTGCGCCGCCTTGAGGGCATCCTCCGCCACATCCGCCTGCACCTCCGCCTCGGCAATCTGGTTGCCCAGCTGGGCCAGGCGCTGCGCCGCCTCGCCGTCGCCGGCTCCCACATCCACGTCCAGCGGCTGATGGCTGAGGGCCTCCTGGTACTGGGTGTCGAGCGTCTGCTTCTCGCGCAGCGAGGCCTGCAGGCAGGAAGGCAGGCGGGCAGGCAGGCAGGCAGGCGGGCGGGCATTAGGCAGGTGTGTGGATCAGAAAACAAGAACCGTTTGATTCCCAGCGAGTCGTTGCCACTTGCCCCACAAAGGCTTTGCTGGCAGGCGCCACCTGCCTAGCACCAGAGCCGGCTGCCGCCCTGCCTCGCACCTGGAACGCCTGCTCCGCGCGCTGCAGGTCCTGCTGCGCCTCCGCCGCCTGCTGCCGCTGCTCAAACACGGTCGCCTGCAGCGCCGCCACGGCGGTCTGCAGCGCCGGGGGGACAGGCGGGCAGGCGCAGCGGGGTGAGGCCGGGGCGCAGCAGAATGCACACAGGCCGCAGCAGGCCAGCTTGCTCTCGACACTTCTGGCCCAAACGAGCGGCAGGCGAGGCACCGGAGCAAGCCAGGCACCTCCTGTGCACCGCACGCCACCCCCAGCGGCCCCACTTTGCATCCCACCACGCCCACCCAGCCCCGATGCCTGCTGCAGAGGCTTGCCTGCGCCTCCTCCAGCTCGCCCCGGCACTCCGCCAGCTGCTGGCTGAGGTCGCGCACGAGGCGCGGGCGCAGCGGGCGGGAGCTGTCTGGCGGCAGCGAGAACTCAGAGGCGCCGCGGCGGTACGCCTTGGACCCATCCTTGGCAAAGGCGTTGGCGATGCGGTACTGCTGCCTGCGGGCGAGGCAGAAGAAAGAAGCAGCAGGACCAAGGGCCAGGAAGTGAGGCGGCGCAGCGTGCAGTCCTGGGCCACAGAGCCGGGCCACAGAGCAGAGTCAGTCCGAGGCAGCCCGAGCGAGCCAGCAGGCCGAAGCCGGGCAGAGATGCGTCTGATCCCCAGGCTGCTTGCTCCCTGCTGGAGGTGCAGCGCAGCGCGGCGCGGCACAGCGCGGCACAGCACGGCGCGGCACAGCGTGGGGCCCCCCGCCCGCTCGCCCACCAGAAGTCCCGGTCACGGGCGCGCTCCTTGGCCTCGCGGTGCGTGTGCGTCAGCAGCGTGCGCTCCACCGAGGCGTGGTCCACCAGCACGTTGTGCACCACGTGGGCGGCGGGGCCCTCCTGGATGCGCAGCAAGCGCAGGCATGTGGGCACGCCCTCGGGCGGCACCATGTGGGGCGGGATGGTGTGGCGCGGGTGTGCGTACGAGGCCACGATGACGGAGAAGCCCTGCGGGGCGAGCCGCAGGCCGCCGCGCAGGTCCTGCGGGGGTAGCCAGGCGGCGAGGGGTGGAGGGTTTGGGCGGGTTGGGCTGGGTTGGGCAGCGTCGAGGCCTGGGGATGAGGGGCAGGGCGAAGGGCGCAGGAGATGGCACCCTCTCGCAACCAGAGTGCCAGCCTCCGCTACAACCGGCCGCGTGCCGCCAGGCCGCTGCCTGGCGTGTGGCCTCCCAGCACCAGCATGCAGGGGCCTGCCAGCGCGAGCGCGTGCATGCATGCAGCGGCGCTCGCCTTGAGCAGCGCGGCGTCTGCGTGGTTGTCCACGATCCACCAGCTCAGGGTGCGCCCCATGGCGGCCTCCACCGCCACCCCCCACCGCTCGTCGGCCAGGCTGAGCTGGGAGCCGAGCAGGATGGGGCGGTGGCGGAAGCGCCCCGCGCGCACCGCCGCCTCCACCGCGGCGGCAAGCTCCACCGTCCCCTGCCCGCCAAACTTGGCCAGCGGCGTCTCTGCGGGAGGAGGCAGCAGGCGACGGCGCAAGTGTGGTAGTGTTGGGTGGCTGGTGCGCTCTCTCCATGCCTCACATCTGCAGGGCAAGCTGCACTGCCCTACCTACATCATGAGCAAGGCCCCAGCCACAATCACCACCACCACCACGCCACCACCGCCACCCCACCACCGCCACGCACACCCCACACACAATCCCGGGCCTGCAGCGCAGCGCAGGCCTCGCCACCGCTCACCCTGCGAGGCCTGCAGGCGCTGCAGGTCGCCCTCCACGCGGCGCAGCCGGTTCTGGCCATCCACCAGCGACCGCTCCGCCGCCAGCACGCCCTCCCGCGCCGCCGCCAGCGCGGCCTCCCGCTCCGCGCGGTACTGCCTGGCCCCGCTGGCCGCCACCCCCGCACGCTCGCACCGGTCGCGGCATGCCGCCACCCGCTGCCGGTGGCCCGCCACCGCCTCCTGCGTACTGCGCATGAAGTCCTCGGCCACCTCTTGGTTAGCTTCCTCCAGCGCCGCCCGCTCCTCCTCCAGCTCCTGCACCCGCGCCTGGTGCTCGCCCAGCTGGCGCTGCCAGCCCCGCACCTCCTCCCGCTTCCCCTTGGCCTCCTCCCGCAGGCGGTGCACCTGGCGGTCGTGCCCCTCCGCCGCGGCGCTGGCCTCCTGCAGCAGCCGCTGCTGCTCATCCAGGGACGCCTCGATCGTCGCCAGCTGCTGCTGGTAGCTGGCTGCCTGGGCGGCGTGCGCCTGCTGCTTGGCGGGGAAGGTGTCGTGCAGCGCCTCGCGCAGCATCTGCAGCAGGGGGGGCAAGCCGCAGGCATGCGTGTGGCGGCGCCGGTGGGCCGCGGGCGGCCCGCTGCTCGGCGGCGGCTCGGCTGCCAGCCGCGCGGCAGCGAATGGGGCAGCGTCAGGATGTGCACGCAGCCGAGCTGCCTGGGCAAGCATGCTGCAGCGATACGCTAGAGACACAACACATGGCTGGGGGTGGCAAAGCAGGCCAGCAGGCGGCGGACAGGCCAGCCAGCCAGCCAGCCAGCAGGCAACAGCACGCACCGCGATGCCCTTTTCGAGACTTTCCACTGGCGCCCACTGCAGGCACTTGACCAGCTTGTCGTAATGGTCCTGCCACGCCTTGACCTCTGCACCAGCAGCGCCCGGGAGCAGGCCGCGGAGCCGGCCGTCAACGCCACGCCCCACAGAGAGCAACCATCCGCAAAATACGCCATAGGCATACCCTACTGCACCGTACGGTGCTGTACCGTACTGCAGCGTACCTCGCAGCTGCTCCAGCAGCGACTCCTTGTCCGCCACCGTCTGCTGCAGGGCCTCGATGCTGGCGGCGATGGCTTCCAGCTTCTCCTGCATGCAGCCCACGCGCTCGCACGCGCTCTGCAGGTGCTCCCGGGTCCTGCACGGCGGCAGGGGGACAGGCAGCAGGGGCAGCACGTCGAGGCCCACGCTGCGAGCACCACAACATGTGGGGAAGCCGCAAAGGCGCGGTGCCAGGGCGCAGGATCCCAAAAGTGCAGGGGCTGCCACGCAGGCAGGCCGCCTCCGAGCGGCGGCCCCTGCAGCTGCTGACGCAGCGTGCTGCTGGCTCACGTCTCAAAGTGGGTGGCCTGCATGAAGCCCCTGAACTTGTCCCCCTCAGTCTTCTCCCCAGCAAAGCTGCGCGCCATGTCCTGCAAAGGCAGAGAGGACGGGCGGACCTGAGAGCATTCTTGGTGCGCGACACACTGGCCGTGCGGGCAGAGAGAGAGCTGTCATGGCGGCAGAAGGTGGCCAGAAGGTGACTGCCAGCCGCCCACCGCTCCGTCGCACACCACGCACACCACCCCCACTCCTCCCAGCCTCCCAGCCTGCCAGCTGCCAGCCCCGCGCCGCACCTGCGTGAGGACGATGGCTGGGTTGGAGGCATCGATGCTCAGATCCTCAATCAGCTCCTTGGCCTGCCGGACCCCCTTGAGCGCCTGCAGGCCGGCGGGGCAGGGCCAAAGGCAGATTGCCGCACAGCGCCGGCCGCGCTGGCGCAGCCGCCTGGGGAGTGGCGTCCGCCACCAGGCCGCCTGCTGCCCCTGCCACCCAGCCCGGCCGGGAGATGGATGGACACGCGGCGGGGTGCTGCGCAGCCCACCCACCAAGCGGCCCTTGCAGTCCAGGATCTCGTAGCCGCCGCCTGTGGTGTCGTTGATCTTGCGCACCACAGTGACCTCGGGCCCCAGCAGCGAGCGGCGGTAGGCCTCGGGGCCGGTGTTCCACTGCGCAGAGGGGAGGGCAGATGGATGCCTCAGCAGGCAATGCGCGAGCCGACAAAGGCCAGGCTTGAAACCCCAGAACAGGCCTGAAGGAGAGCGCCGATCAAACGTGCCGGCTGGCCGCGGGCTTGCTCGGCCTGCCGGCATCACGTGGCAGCCGCCCCATGGCATCCGCGAACGGCCCCCAGGGCAGCAGCCAGCCACCGCCAGTGGTGCCCGCGGCGGCACGTCGCCCGCCGTCTGGCCTCACCAGGGTGACCTTGATGACCGCCTGCGCCTGGCCGCGCTGCACAAACTTCTTCATGGCACGGTACCGCCCCGTGTCGGAGGCGCGCGCCCCCAGGCAGCACTGCAGCGCCTGCAGCACCGCGCTCTTGCCGCTGCCGTTGGCGCCCGTCAGCAGGTTGACGTTGGGGCACAGGTCTATGGCCAGGTGGGTGTGGCACTGCAGGCGGCGGAGGAGGCAGGCAGGAGGCGGAAGGAGGCGGGGGTGACGTGGGCGGGGCGCGGCAGCCGGCGGGCAGCACACACGCGCATGCGCGGAGCTGGAGCTCGAGCAGCTGGCAGGCAGGATGCAAGCGCGGCAGCAGGGGCAGCGGCAGGGCAGCCAGCATCGGCAGGATTGGCCCAGGGGCCAGCCAGCCAACACCGGTGGTGCGCCACCCACCATGAAATGCTGCAGCTCCACACGCTTGACAACCCCCGCTGCCGGCGCGCCCTCTGGGTCTGGCACATCGCTGCAGTCGTTCTCCTTGCGCTGTGCCGGCCGCCCCCTGCCCTGCTGGCTGGGCCCACGCTGGCTGGGCCCACGCTGGCTGGGCCCACGCTGGCTGGGGCCCGGTTCCCTGAATGCGTCGTCATCGCTGTCACCGCCGCCGGGGAGGACAGCCGGCTGGCTGGGGCCCGCGCGATTGGAGCCTTCCTGCTTCTGCTGGGTGGCATGCCGCCGGCGCAGCTGCTGACTGCTGGGCTGCGCCTGGCTGGGCGACAGCCGCCATGACTGCTGCTGCTGCTGAGAGGGCGGCGGCGCAGCACCCTGCTGGTCGCGCTGGGGCGGCGCCGCTGCATTCTTTGGCGGCCAGCCGCGCCGACGCGGCGGCTCCTGCTCGTCGCTGGCGGCGGAGGCCCGCTTGCGTGAGCCGCCCTTCCCAGCAGCCTTGCCAGCCCCCTTGCTGCTGCCCCGGGGCTTCTTGGCAGGCGGCTCAGCAGGCTCCGGCGCTGCTGCCGCGGGCCCTGCCGCAGCGCCGGAGGCGGCAGCAGAGGCGGCTGCTTGCAGCTTCAGCGGTGAGATGACAGTGGGCCGCCGCTTGGGGCGCCTAGCTGGCGGCTGGAAGTCGGGGAAGGCGGCCCGCCCACCAGGGCCAAGGTCCAGGACGACTGCAAGAAGAAAGCGGCCCACACAGTGCCAGCACGGTCGGCCTACGGCACCTCCGGACGGCCGCCGACGGCGCGGCACGCACGCTGGCCAGCGGCATCGACGGCTGATTTGGCCGCGTCCCACTGGCCGCCGCCCAACAACCGCCTGCACACACCTGAGCTTTTGCTGTTGAACACCTCATCCCAAATCATATCGTCCTCCTCAGAGTTGTAGCCATTCTGCTCGCCATAGCTGCAGAGCAGGAGGGTCGTGCGCGGGAATGCACCACAGGTGTCGACACACAAAAAACATGGCAACCAATCTGGTGAGGCAGGCCGGGGCAGCACAGAATGACCGCAGACTGGGCGCGGGGCGGCATGCAAAGGGCATACGAGCCAGACAGCAGCGGCCAGGGCCCGCGCGTGAGAGGGCGGCCCACTGTGCCACCGGCCTGCGTCCAGAACAGGAGGCGGCGGCGGGTGGGAGCAACGCACTGGAGCAGGCAGTAGAACTTGGTGGGGTCGATCACGCCCTGTTCTTCAGCAGGCTTGCTTGCATCTAGGCTCATCTGCTCGCCCTCGTCCACGCTCCGCACTTCCGCCTCAAACCAGGCATTGTACTCGCCGGGCCAGAAGCTGCGGAGAGCAGGTGCGGAATGCAACACGGCTTGGTGCCGCCGCGTCGGCAGGCGACGGCAACAAGGTGGCAGGGCGGCGCAGCAGGGCGCGCGACTGGCTGCTGAGTGTTTTCTCCTCACGGTTGCCCGTGAGAGCAGGCACTGACGCCCTGGCCGGCCGGCAGCAAGACTGGGCGAGGCGAGGCGGGCGGAGACGGCGCCGCCACTCACACAGACACCCGGGCGCCCAGGCCGATGCGCTGGGCATCTTCTATGCTAGCGGGCTGCGGGATGGTAAAGCCCGGCATTCTTTCCGCCCGCAAAGAGCTCCGTTGGCCTACAGACCGTGCGGCAACGACGCGACTGCCTCCCGCGACAGCATACCGGCCGAGCCGGCTGTCAGGCTGCAACGCTGACGCGACCAGGTGAAGAGGTAGGCGTGGGTGGAAGCCGCACCCGCGAAGGAGCCCAGACCACCAGCAGCGTGGCCACAGGCGGTGTAGGCAAGGCTACTCAGCCGAACGTGGCAGATGCCAGGACCGTGCAATGTGCGAGAGAGGGGGCCAATCAAGGAGAGAGCAGGGGCGCCAAGTCGGTGAGCTGGCAGGCCGGCCTTTCCTTTGCTGGGAATTTTGCTGCCCACTCCACACCACAGCACCTACACGATCGAGGTCGATCAGGGACTGCTCCACCAGGGGTCTCCTGCCCGCGCTGATCACTCTCTTGTGTCCCGCACTCATCCTCCGGCTGTGCACTACACGGGGAGTGGTGCCAGCAGACGCGATGGCGGGCAGCGACGGCGGCCCTGCCGCGTCCCCAGCCTCTCGCTACGAGCTCGGCGAGCTGATTGGCAAGGGCTCCTTCGGCACAGTGCACCGGGGGTGAGGGACAGGCGGCAATCAATCAATCATACAGGCCCAGCAGCAGGGGCTGCCGCCGCCGTCGCTTCGCCGCCGCTGGGCTGGACGGTGGCTGCCAGGCTCAAGAGTTGGTCCCTGCTTTCTTGGGAGGGCCTGCAGGTACGACACCGTGGCACAGATGGAGGTGGCCATCAAGCTGATCGACCTGGAAGACATGTGAGCTCCTGGACGCAGGCGTGCATGGCCCCTGTCGGCCCTGCCCTTTCTGCCCCCGTCCACCCATCCATGCCCAACCGCCTGCCTGCCGGGTCCCCTGGCCTGCAGCGAGGAGGACATCGCTGAGATCCAGCGGGAGATCTCCATGCTGAAGCAGGTGCTGTCGCTGCCGCCGGGAGCTGGGCGCTGGCCGTGCGGTGACGTTCCAGTGGCTGAAGCGTTGGCTGCGAAGCCGCCCTTGCCCTCCTCATTTTCGTCCCTGCAGCTCACCGCTGCCTGCCTGCCTGCCTGCCTGCCTGCCTGCCCCTGCCCGCCTGTGCCTCCCTGCAGTGCCAGAGCCCCAACATCACAGCTTACTATGGCTCCGCGGTGGTGCCCGGCACCAGCCAGCTCATGATTGTGATGGAGCTGCTGGCGGCCTCGGCGGCAGACCTGGTGCGGGGGCAGGGGCCCGGGGCCGCGGCCAGGGGCGTGGGGAGATGCAGAGCAGGCGCCGGGACGTGCCTGCATGCACGGCTGCCGGCCGGCGACGCTCGTAGCTATGCTCTCTCGTGCACTGCGTGCGCGGCAGCGCATCGAGGCATGCACGGCTGCCATGGGGCTCGCAGCCCGCCCCTGTGCGCCCCCACCCCCACCACCCCCTGCCCCCGCAATGGCCGCGCAGGTGAGCGAGGAGACGGGCGGGGAGCCGCTGGGCGAGGCCTGCATCGCGTTTGTGGTGCGCGAGGTGCTCCGCGCGCTGGCCTACCTCCACTCCCAGCACCGCATCCACCGCGACGTCAAGGCCGCCAACATCCTGCTGTCGCCCGAGGGCGCGGTCAAGGTGTCGGACTTTGGGGTGTCGGCGCAGCTCGGGTGCGGCTGGCCCGTCGGCGGGGGCCGGCGCGGTTTTCCGGTAGTGGGCGTGCGCTGCGTGGCTGTCCTGCTTGTCCCTGCTTGTTCCTGCTTGTTCCCGAGCGTGGGCTGCTCTTGCTGCTGCTGTGTGTTGTTCTTTGCTGTGCGTGTTCGTGGTGGTGTGTGGGCTGAAGTTGGTTGGCCTCGTTTGCTGTGATCACGACCATACCATCCTCCCCTTGCAGCGGCACAGTCGGCTTCAAGCGGCGCACCTTTGTGGGCAGCCCGCTGTGGATGGTGAGGGCCTGACCCCGCTGCTCGCTCCCCTCCTGTGGCTGCCTCGGGCACCCTTCTGCCCCCTGCTCTCGCTGCTGTCCCTGCCCACCCACCACCTGCCACCAACCCCACCGCCAGGCACATACACAGGCGCACGCCATCCCCGTGCCCTCCCACGCCATCCTCCTGCCCTCCCACACCCCCCACGCCATCCTGCTGCCCTCCCACACTCCCCACGCCATCCCCCGTGCCCCCCCACACCCCTCCCCGCAGGCCCCCGAGGTCATCGAGCAGTCCCCCGACACCGAGGGCTTCCGCGGCGACGCGGGCGGCGCCCCGCCAGACGGCTACGACGAGGCCGCAGACATCTGGTCGCTGGGCATCACCGCCATCGAGGTGGGCTGTTGGCAGCGCGGGCTGCAGGCGCAGGTGGTGGCAGGCAGGCACGGCGGTGGTGGCAGGCAGGCACGGCGGTGGTGGCAGGCAGGCACGGCGGTGGTGGCAGGCAGGCGCGCCGGTGGTGGCAGGCCGGCACGCCGGTGGTTGCAGCTGCTGCGGCGGGCTTGCGGCCCGGCATGCCGCGCTCCGTCGGACCATGGGCGGCGCAGCGTCCGCGTCGTGCGGGAGGCTCGCCCTTGCTCCCCGCCCCGTGCGTGCTCCCCGCCGCGTGCCCACGCCGCCTGCTGCATTGCCCGCCACCCGCGCAAATGCTGCAGCTGGCCGAGGGGGAGCCGCCGCGCGCGCACCTCGCCTCCTTCCGCCTGCTGTTCATGATTGTGCGGGACGACCCGCCGCAGCTGGAGGGCGGCCAGTGGTCCACAGAGCTCAAGGACTTTGTGTGGCAGTGCCTGCGCAAGGTGAGCTGCCGCTGTGCCCCGCTGGCGCCCCGCTGGCGCCCCGCTGGCGCCCTGGTTGTGTGTGTTTTTCAGCGCCTGCGCCAGGCGCGCCTGCGGCGCGGCGCGCTCTGTTGCGGCGGCCCCCTCGCTGTCGCCGCCCCGTGCCGTGGCCGGTGCGGCGCCCTGACCTCTGCTGCCGCGCCAATGCGCCTGCCGGTGTGTGCAGGACCCGTCTGCGCGCCCGTCTGCTGAGGACCTTCTGGAGCACCCGTTTGTGGCTGGCGCCCAGCAGCCGCCGGAGCTGCGGGAGCGCGTGGCGGCCTGGCTGCAGCGCCGCCCCGCCCTGCTGGAGCGGCAGCAGGCGCGGGTGAGCGGCGGCGGCGGCTTCGGCACCGTGGGTGCCACGATGCCGCGCTGGGACTTTGCGGCCGGCGGCGGCGGCGGCGGCGGCAACGGCACGCTGGCGGCGGCGCGGCCCGTCACGGCGCCGGGGGCCGGCGGCATGCAGCGCACGGCGGCGGGGGCGGCAGACCTTGGGGGCACGCTGGTGCGGCGGCACACCGACGCTGAGCTGGCAGCAGCAGATTACGGCGGGACAGTGCAGGTACGGCCTGCCGGCGACGCCGAGTTCGGCATGCCGGTGGCGGCAGCCGCGCCGGGAGGCTTGGCAGCAGCGGCGCCGCCCTCCCGCCTGTTCATCCCAAATGATCCCACGCAGCCCGACCAGCCGTTGGCAGCAGCGGCAGGAGGGTACCTGGCTGGCCCCGCCAGCGCTGTGGGCGGCGGCGGCGGCGGCGGCGGCGGCGACGGCGGCGCCACCAGGCAGCTGCTGCAGGCGGGCCTGCAGGCCGCAGCGGGCGGGCCGGGCGCCGGCCCCGGGGCGGCGGCCGCGGCAGAGACGGCGTCGGCGGCCCTGGGCCAGCTGGAGGCGGCTCGGCCTGGGGCGGTGCGGGATGCGTTGACCGAGGTGCTGACGCAGCTGAGCCTGGCCAGCAGCCCCTCGCTGGCGGCACTTCAGGGCTCCGCGTCGGCGCTGTTTGGGGACGGCGGCGGCGCGGCGGGCGTCGGCGGCCAGCCGGGCGACGTGCCCGAGCTGGGCCCCCTGGGGCGCTTCCTCATGTCGCGCTGGCGGGAGGCGGTGGCGCGGGAGCGCGTGCTGCACACCCAGCAGTGGCAGGCCAGCTGAGAGCTCTCCAGATGGCGGCCTGTGGCGGCGATTCGCTGCTAGGCCTCGCCGGTGACCCTGCTTGTTAATCTTGATTGCCCCACCCATTTCATTGTGTGACCGCCGACGGCCTCCATACTGTTTTGAGTGTGAAGCACCAGGGCTGTGGCTCTGCCTGGCTCGGCTGGCTCTGCCCGCCGCCGGCTCCTCCAGTGCGGCTGCGACTGCGGCGGGTGGGGCCCTGCCCAGCCCAGGCTGTGGCGCCGGTGCAGACGGCGCATCCCTCCATGCATGCAAATGCCGCCGCTGAATGACCATTTTGGCGCGAAATGCGCGGCAAAAAGCGCGCTGCACTGCGTGCTTTGCCACCAGGCAAGCGCGGCAACTGAAGACCGCCTGCCAGGACTGCCGCGCCCCTCCATTCCCAAGTGAACCACCCATCGGGTCTCAGAGGAGCTCTGCATTGGCTGCCTCCTCCTGTCTGCTGTTTGGGAGAGTTCGGTACGCAAGATTGGGGGTTGGCATGTCTGCCGGCCCTCCGCCGGCCCCGATGCAGCACAGCGGCATTTGCCGCGCAAATTACCTTCGCTGCAAGGGGTGTCGCGTGCTGCAAGGCGCCATGAGGGGTGTGCCAGATGGCGTGCAAGATGCAACCGTGTCCGCCCTGCCATGCCTCTTGCAGTCCCCTCGGACGATAGGCCCAGAAGACCGCCTGGAACCATGAATCTCGCCGCGGCAGTGGGCCTGCTGGCCTGCACGCTGGTTGTGGCTGCCTCCGCAGGTGCGACCCGCCGCCGCCAACCACCGCCCACCCGCTTCGGCGGCACCCAGCAGCAGCAGGCGGATGCGCGTGCCCCATGGCCAGCGTTTCCCTACAAAACGATGCAGCTCAGAGGGATGCTGCCACCAGGCACAGGAGCTCGCCGCCCGGCGCCGCAGATCCATGCTCGCCCCACATGCACATGTCTGACAGCCCAGGTGTCTTGCTGCCCCCGCAGGCACCCTGCCCCTGGTGCCCACGTACACGTGCGACCCCGCCGCCTGCAAGCCCTCCGAGAACTGCCAGTGTGCAACCTACGTGTCGCCGCTGCCACAGGAGGAGATGCCGCAGTTTGTCCTCTACACGGTGAGCGCCGCCTGTCGCGCCTGGCGTGGGCCGCCATCCACTGCTGCCTGGTGTGCTGCTGCTGGCGCACTATGGACTAGGCAAGGCGATGGGGCATCAGGCTGTGGCTTCCTTCGCATGCGCCGAGTGCTGGGAATGCCGCCGCACGGTCCCCGCAAGCGCGCCCTGGCATGCCCAGCGCCTGGGCTGCACTCTGCTTTGGTGTGTTGCAGCACGACGATGCCATCATGCCGGAGATCACCGACGCCATAAAGGAGACGGTGGGGGACCGCACGAACCCCAACGGATGCACCATCCCGCTCACCTGGTGCGAGCTGCCGTGGGCTGTGGCATGGTGTGCCTGGGGAGGATGGTAGTACTGCCAGCTGCTACGGCGCTCCTTCATCTGCCTGCCTGCCCTGGCGCACATGCACTCCTACACCATGCCCTCGCCTTGGCAGCCAGCCGGCAGCCCGCCAGCCGGCAGCCCGCCAGCCTGCACCCACCTGCCCCTGCCTGCCCTGCCAACCCACCCGCAGGTTCACCATCAAGTATGGCACCGAGCCGAACTGCAACCTGGTGAAGCAGCTGTGGCGGGAGGGGCACGAGATTGCGCTGCACACGCGCGACCACGTGCGCCTGGACGCCCCACTCACAAACGAGCAGAAGGGTGAGCCAGGGGAGGGCTGGTCTGGGGGGGTGATGGGGTGCCGGCTGGTTGGCTGCCTGTGGCTGGCTGGCGCCGGCGGGATGAAGGGGGAGAGCGGCAGGGTGGCGAGCGCTTGGCACGGCATCACATCACGCGCACCGCGCTCTGGGCATGGCATGTGGCGGGGCTTACGACAACGCCCGCGTGCGCCCCCCGGCCGCCCCCCCACGCGCCGCGCCCCCGCAGACCAGATGAAGAGCGTCAAGTCGTGGCTGAACGAGACGTGCGGCATCCCGCTGGAGCACATGGTGGGCATGCGGGACCCCTTCCTGGTCAACAACCCCGACACGCGTGAGGTGGGTGGGTGGCGGGCGTGGGGAGGGGCGGTGAACGAGGGGGAGCCTGCCTGGCAGGGCGAAGCATAGGACCGATGAGGCGCTGCCGCTGTGGAGGTTGAGGCTGGGGAAGAGAGGCTGGCGTGCGGCGGCGCGTGCCGCCGTGCCCGCTCCTCTCCCCCAGCGCGGCCTCAAACCAGTCCCGCGGCGCTGCCCCCCTCTCCCTCCTCCTCCACGCAGGTCCAGCACGAGATGGGCCTGCTCTACGACTCCACCATCAACGAGCACTGGACCAACGACGGCCTGTGGCCCACCTCCGCCAACGGCTCCGCCCGCCTGCTGCCCTACACCATGGACTCGGGCATCCCCCAGATCTGCAACGCGGTCATGGACGGCGTGTGCGAGCAGGTGGGGGCGGGGGCACAGGCGGGGGCGGGGGCATGGAGCGTCGGCTGGCTATCCACCGGGCAGTGTGCACTGCAGTGGAGGGTGCGGTTAGCGCCGGGCGGGCAGCCTGGCGGCCCGCCTGGATCCGCCTGCTGCCTCCTCTCCTCCTCTTCTGATCCCCACGCCCCGCCCATGCCTCCTCCCGCCGCAGTCGGAGCGCTACCCGGGCCTGTGGGAGGTGCCTGTGTGGGTGCTGCAGACCTCCAAGTATCCCATGGACGCCTATGCCATGGACCCGGGCGGCGACGTGTACGCCCTGCTCAAGGTCAACTTTGACGCGGTGAGCGGGAGATTGGGTGGGAGGCGAGGGATGCGTGGTGGTGGTGGTGGCGGGGGTGCATAGAGGGAGTGTGGTGAGGGAGAGCGGGAGGCGGGGCGGCTCTGGCATGCGGTGGGAGGCTGGGGGTCTGGGGGCGGTGCCCGGCGGGAGCGGCGCGGGCGGCGCGA